TCCCGCGGCGGCCCGCCCGCGCCCCCTCCCCGCGCCCGGCAGCAGGGCCGGCAGGGGCGCAGCGGGCGGGCGGCGGCCCGGGAGGCGGCCCGGGAGGCGGGCGGGCGGCGGCCGCGTCGGGACCGGCCGCGATGGGACCGGAGGCGGCGCGGGCGGCGGGCGGCGCAGACAAAGGCGCGGGCGGCGCGGAGGGCGCGGGGCCGGGAGCAGGGGAGCGAGCGGGGGCGCCCGGCTGCGCGCAGTGGGCGCCGCGGGCCGCAGCGACCGGGCCCGGACACTCGGGGCGCCGACCCCGCAGGGTGAGCCCGGCCGGCCGGGCCTGCGCCGGAGCGCGGGCTCGCGTCCCGGGGACGCGCGGCGGGGCGCGGGGGCCCGGAGTTCCGCAGTCGGGCCTGGGGGGCCGTGCGGGACCCCGCGTTCCGGGGCTGGGAGCGGCGGGTCGCGGAGTCCGGAGTCGTCCGGGCGGGACCGCGCGCCGCCGGAGGTGCCCCAAGTTCTGGACCCGGCGTTGGAGGAGGCTGCGAAGGGGTCCCCGAAGTTGTGGACCTGGGTGGCGGAATAGTGCGGAGGGTCCCGCAATTCCGGACAGGGGACTGGAGGAGTGTGGTGGGGTGTCCTCGAAGTGTTAGGAGTGGTACAACGGCAGAGTAGAAGTTGAAACAGCTAAATACAGAGCAGAGCCATGAACCGCCCCTGGGTGCTTTTCCCTCATTGATTAATTCAGCATCCTTTATTGAGCACCTGCTGTATGCCAGGCCCAAGGCCGGGCACAGGGGTTATAGAGATGAAAAATTGGGCTGGCCTCTGCCCTCAGGGCCCTTCCTGCTGGCTAACGAGTGTGATGGTGAAGATGGGCCTCAGGGAAGAAGAGCTTGGCTCTGAGGAAGCAGGGGAGCTTGGCTCTGAGGAAGCAGGGGAGCTTCCCCTGCTCACCTGGGCGGGTTTAGGCAGGTTTGCTCCTGGCGGGTTGGGGAAAGCCCAGGCAGGCAAGGCAGGGGCGGGGCACGCGGCTCCCAGCCCAGGGGCCCTGGGGAGCCACGGAGGGTGGGTGAGGTGGTGAGGGGCGCGCTGGGATCCTGGTCTGGGCAGGACCTGCTGGGGTCAGAGGTCGGGTCGGACCCCCCTGACCTCAGTCACGGCGCCAGTGCCGCCGCCACCGTGACCTTCTGAAGCCACCACGTATCCTGAGCCCGTCCTCGTCCCCACCCGCAGGTGCCCCCGAGCCCCCTGGTCAGTGCCAACGGCCCCGGCGAGGAGAAGCTGTTCCGCAGCCAGAGCGCGGACGCCCCCGGCCCCACCGAGCGCGAGCGGCTCAAGAAGATGCTGTCCGAGGGGTGAGGGGCTGGCAGGGCGTGGGGTGGCGAGGAGGGGCTTCTCAGGAGTCCAGGGGCCGCGGGGCCGACGGCGGGATCCGGCTTTGGACCCAGGACCTGGCGAAGGGGCGGAGCCGCCCGGGTCCCTCCAACGCGCACCTGCGCTGGCCCCGCCCCTTTCCCCGGCCACGCCCCCGCGTCTAGCCCCGCCCCGTCCAGGCCGGGGATAAAACCAGGGTCGCTTCCCCAGCCCCTTTCTGACCGTGCCCCATGGGCTGGCACCTCGCCCGTCCCCCACTGGGGCGGTGTGTCAGTGAGCGGGCTCCACGAGCCTACCTGGAACCGGTCTGGACAAGACCACGCCCCCGGGACCGCCCCATTCCCCTGCTGGGCGCTGCTTGGGCCCCGCCCCCAGCACAGAGCCACCCAGCATGGCCCTGCCTCCAGCCCGGCCCAGTGTCGCCCCGCCCCTAGCCTGGTGTCGCCCCGCCCCTAGCCCAGGGCCACCCACGCTGGCCCCGCCCCTAGCCCAGGGCCACCCACGCTGGCCCCGCCCCTAGCCTGGCATCGCCCCGCCCCCAGCCCAGGGCCACCCACGCTGGCCCCGCCCCTAGTCCAGCGTTGCCTGGGCCCCCGCCCCCGCCGGGCCATCCCCTGCCGACCCTCTCGTCCCTGCAGCTCCGTGGGCGAGGTGCAGTGGGAGGCCGAGTTCTTCGCGCTGCAGGACAGCAACAACAAGCTGGCGGGCGCGCTGCGGGAGGCCAACGCCGCCGCCGCCCAGTGGAGGCAGCAGCTGGAGGCCCAGCGTGCGGAGGCCGAGCGGCTGCGGCAGCGGGTGAGGGCAGAGACCCCTTCCTCCCGGAGACCCGGGCGGCCGCGTAGCCCGCGCCTCCGCCTGTCCCACCTGCCTTGGGTTTGTGGACCGTGTGGCCTCGGCAGTTCCCTTCCCCAAGCCTCAGTTTCTTGCTCTGTGAAATGGGCCTGAGACGATGCCCGCCCCCCTGAAGTCCGGCGGGAGGCGGAGTCCCCAGGGGTCCGGACGCAGCATCCGGGCTGAGGTTCCCGTCCGCACAGGTGGCTGAGCTGGAGGCCCAGGCGGCGGCGGAGGCCCCCCAGGTGGGCGAGAAGGAAGTGCAGGGCCAGTCGCTGGAGCAGCTGGAGGCGCTAGTGCAGACCAAGGACCAGGTGAGCGCCGAGCGAGCGGGCACCTGGGCCTGGCCCTCCCGCGCCTCCCACGGGGGAGCCGGCCCCGCACAGACCCTGGCCCCCCTGCTCTAGGAGATCCAGACGCTGAGGACGCAGGCGGGCGGGCCCCGAGAGGCCCCCGACGCCCCGGAGCGCGAGGAGACGCAGCAGAAGGTGCAGGTGCGCGCGGGCGGCGGGCGGCGGGTGACGCGGGCGGAGCAGGGCAGACCCGAGATCTGCCTCCCTGGTAGGTGCTGGGCAGCTCCGTGCCTCCCCGAGACTCAGTTTCCCTGCCTGTGCCCGGGACGGTGTCTACCTGAGACTGTCAGTGGTTGGGAAGACCAGGCCCGCGGCAGGTGCCTCCTAACCGGCGGGTAGCAGTAGTTGCACCTCCGTCGGGGAGTTCAGGGGGCAACTCTTGAGTTCCCGCCAAATTCCGATGCTTGGCCCTGTCGCGTCCCCACGCGTCTTCAGCCCGAGGTCGCAGGCCCTGAGTTCGAATCCAGGTCTGGCTGGCTTGGCTTTGGCTGCAGCTTTTATCCAAGAAATGATCAGTGAGCACTTCCTGGGAGCCCAGCAAGCGGAGATGTTCAATTATCTGAATCCTCCGAAAGGGTCCCCGGGAGAGACCAGCTGGGGAGGCGCACAGCACGGAGAGCATAGCACGTGCAAAGGCCCTGGGGCAGCGAGGAACTTGGGGGTCCAGGGAACTACGGGGAGGCCGGCGAGGCTGGTGTGCGTTTTAGTCCACGCTTGATGGGGGAGCCACAGGGACGGTTTTGAGAAGAGGAAGGTCACGTTTTCTCCTGGGGTGCTCAGAATGGCCCGAGTGCCCAGGGGAACAGGGCGTTGTGGGCAGGGCCAAGGCGCGGGGGGCAGGCAGAGGGGGCTTGGGCGGTGGGGTGGGGACGGCCGTCGAGATGCTGGGGTCCCCGACTCGCCCGCCCTCTGCCCGCAGGACCTGGAGACGCGCAACGCGGAGCTGGAGCACCAGCTGCGGGCGACCGAGCGCAGCCTGGAGGAGGCGCGGGCGGAGCGCGAGCGGGCGCGGGCCGAGGTGGGCCGGGCAGCGCAGCTGCTGGACGTGCGGCTGTTCGAGCTGAGCGAGCTGCGAGAGGGCCTGGCCCGCCTGGCCGAGGCCGCGCCCTGATCCCGGCGCCCACGGAGCAGGTCCGTGGACGATTCCCGCCCGCCCGCCGCGGGGGCCCGGCGCGGCAGCAGGCGGCCCGTCGCCCGCCCGGCAGGACTGGGGCCCGCTCAGCCGGTGGGGCCGGCCTGGACACGCCTCCCAGCCGGCCGGCCCGCGCAGCTGGGGGCTGTGCCTGAGCTTTCCGTTGCGTAGATTTCTAGATCCGGGGCGTGTACCGATGCCGGATTACATTTCTAAGCCTGGCTGTGTGCGTGTGGTGTGTGGCACCTGTCACCGGCTCTCTGAGCGCCTCCCCCGCAGGTGCACCTGCGCTGGCCCCGCGTCCGCCTGTAAGCGGCGGGGCGGGTGCCCAGGGCGTGCGCGCCCGCACCTCCGCCGCCGGTGCCTTCGGCTTAGCCCGCGCCGTCTGGCCGGGTCTGGACTAGCCCCGGAGAAGTCCCCTTCCCTCTGGCCACCACCCCCAGGTGCGGCTGGGCGGGGAAGCCTCAGCACATAGCTGTGTGCGCCGGGCACGGGCGACCGCGCTGAACCCTCGTGCGCCTTCGGAGCGCGCCGGAGCTCGGGTTGCTGGTCCGTCTTCGCGGCTCAGGGGCCGCCTGCTGCCAGAAGTGCGCGGGTGCTGGGGGTGCCGGGAGGCACAGGCGCCAGGCCACGCCCTCTCACCGCCCCCCTCCGTCCTCGGAGAATCACACGAGCAAGTCAAAAGACCCATTTATTGAGCGCCTGCTGCACGGGTGACCCTGGCCGGGTGACTCCGCGGCGTCGAGTCCGGCCTCATGGCCGCGTTGTAGTCCTTCCTCCTCTGCGGCCCTCGGCCCAGGCTCCAGGCAGGGGCCAGCTGGGGGCACGGGGGCGGGGGCTGGCTGCCCACAGGGTCTGCCGAGGGGGACCGGGCAGACCCAGGAGAAGTCCTCAACGGGGGAGGCGGGGCCGTGTGGGGCTCAGGCTGGCCCCCAGGGACGCACCGGCAGCCCGCCCTGCTGGCTTCCGCCGCGCAGCGTCTCTTTCCACCTTCTCCCTGAAGTGCCGGTGCTTCTGCCGGATCTTGGCCAGCTCCACCTTGCGCTTGGTCCAGGTCGGGGTCCTGGCGTGGGGACCAGGTGGCTGAGCCGGGCGCGGGGACCTGCCGCACGCCCACCCACCCTGCCCGGCCAGCTCCACCCTCACCTTCCCTCCAGGATCAGCTGCTTCCGCTTGTGATTTCTTTCTTCTCGTCAAAGTGGGCCGCCTCCCAGTTTCTGGGGGCAGGGAGAGGCTGGTCAGGGGCTCCCCGTCTCCGGGGAAGCCCCCAGGCCCCGCCTCTGACACTTACGATCTCGCACTCCTCCGAACCACGTTGACTGCGTGAGGACTCGCAGCACCTGGGCCTCCTCCACCGAGAATCCTCCAGCTTCTTCCTGGGGGGGGGAGGACGGACAGGATGACCGAGCCCGGCAGGGCAGGGGGAAACAGAACGGGGAAGAGGGAGTTCAGTCATGTAGTGAGCTGCCCGTGCAGTGGGGTGTGCAAGTTCACATGGGGTCATATCAAGTAAGAGGTAGGTGGGCAAGACCACAGGCCCGGCCAGAAAGAATGTCTTCTAAAGTCAAAACGGTTGTGAATTTTAGGCGTCTGTGCCGATTAGACATGCCCCAGTCAGCAGTTCTGTCTTGGCTACACATTAAACCACTCGAAAGGGTTTTTAACAGGCCAGGCCTACGTTTTGTCACTGGGCCTTCAGTGTGACACGCTGGACGCGCTCGGGACCATCGCACACCTCAGTCTGAACCCACCAGGACCCCTCCGCCCAAGGTGGCTTTCAGTTTGCTGTTGGCCACGTGGGGAGCTTCTGTTTCAAGAACTGGGCAAAGGGGCCGGGCGCGGTGGCTCACGCCTGTCATCCCAGCTCTGGGAGGCCGGCCGGAGGATCTCAAGGTCAGGAGTTCAAAACCAGCCTGAGAAGAGCGAGACTCCGTCTCTACTAAAAATAGAAAGAAATTAATGCCAACTAATATAAGAAAAAATGAGCGGCGTGGTGGCGCATGCCTGTAGTCCCACTATACTCGGGAGGCTGAGGCAGGAGGATTGCTTGAGCCCAGGAGTTGGAGGTTTGCTGTGAGCGAGGCTGATGCCACGGCACTCACTCAGCCCTGGGCAACACAGCGAGATCTGTCTCAAAAAAAAGAACGAGGCAAGAGGAACTTCAGACGGGGCGAGCAGGTGCGTGACCAGGCCCCCCCCCGCCTCAACTCACCTGATCTCTCTCGATGGCGTGCACCAGGTGGATGTCGTACTGTGTCACCAGCGTGCCGGCTTGTCCTTGCCGCCCTGTTGGGGAACGCAGCGCAGTCATCTGTCTGTCCCCGAGGAGCTGCAGACGCTGCAGAGTGGCAGCTCCCGCCAGCCAGGCCTTACACACAAGCTGGCAACTGGCTGATTTCCCTTTTCGGGCTTGCTGCCCAGGGACCCTCCGGCTAAGTTATCTCAGCAGTTAGTCCCATGGCCTCTGCTCCCATTTCTGCGACGTGACTCGGCTAGAACTGCGCTGACAAGGTTTACAACGCCCCTCCTACGGCGCCCCCAAAATGGCATGCATTGGTTTATTGCTTGTCCGCCACGTGAGGCCCACGGGAACAGACGACTGCACCTGGCCCGGCCGCCTGACTGGTCCCAGGAACAGAGGCCAGCCCCGGTCCCTGTCCCTCAGGGACACATCTTCCGGTGCGCAAGCCCGTGACACAGAATCTCACCGACACCGTGCCTCTCCCGGGCAGGGCTGCGCATGAGATAAAAGACCCTGGGCCAAGGTCACAGTGAGGAGGGCCCAGACTGGCCGTCCTGTCCGGAGGGGCAGGTTCTCACCCTGGGCCCAAACTCGGCGTCCGCCCTCGGAAGGGCAGGTCCTCACCGCGTCGGCCCAAACGTGCCGTCTCATCCGGGGTGCAGTTCTCACCTGCATCCAACGGCCGTCCCGTCCGGGGGGCAGGTTCCTCCACGCCTCCGCCCACAACACTGCGTCGTCCCGGAGGGGAAGGTTGCTGCACCTGGCCCAAACTCGGCCGTGCCTGTCCGGAGGGCAAGGTTTCACCTCGCCCAAACTGGCAGTCCGCGTCGAGGGCAGGTTCTCATCCCTCGGCCAGACTGCGCCGTCCCGTTCGGAGGGGCAGGTTCGTTCACCCTGGGCCGCCAGACTGCCGTCCCGTCACGCAGTGGCAAGGTTCTCACCCTGGGCCAGACTGGCCGTCCCGCGTCCGGAGGGGAGAGAGCGCAGGTTCATCACCCTTCATCCCCAAATCCATCCCGTCCGGAGGGGGCAGGTTCTCACCTCATCCCCCAGACGCTGCCGTCCGTCCGCAGGGGCAGGTTCTCACCCTGGGCCCAAACTGGCCGTCCCGTCCGGAGGGGCAGGTTCTCACCCTCTGCCCAAACTGGCCGTCCCGTCCG